TTATCATTGAATCGAGTTATTGGGCGACAGTCGACGCCATTCCCAAGTTATCCATCGAAAACCTGCTGACTATCGACACAAACATTTTGGTTTCCTTTCATTTCTATGAACCCATGCTTTTGACTCATAGACAACAAAACAAAAATCGTTTCGCATATCCCTCACAAATACCTGATTATGATAACATCAAATATCCGCAAATGATTGAAATCAATGACAATTATATTGCCGATAAATTCTTGCCTACTATTCAATGGTCACAAAAGTTTAACGTCAGACTAGTTTTGGGTGAATTTGGTATCAGTCGTGAAGTATTGGGGGCTGACCTGTATTTGGATTGTATAATGAAATTATGCAAAACACATGCCATCCCCTCATTTATCTATAGCTTTAGAGATGAGGACTGGGAGGCAATGGACTATGAATTGGGCGATAATATCTCAACCGGGAAAGTGAAACAAAGTCTAAATCAAAACATATTAATGCAAACAATATTGACTGGCATTAATAAAAGTAGTGTTTAATTTATATTTAATTATAACATAATTTTCATGATAATACATTAATAATATGTATAAATCATTCACGAACAGGCGTTTGAGCTTGGTCAACTTATTAAGTAATATTAGTTATACTTTTATACTGTATAAACCTATGGAGAATAACACATGAATGAATTTATATTTAAAATCACTAACGCCTTTCTATGAATGATTTAATCATATTATATATTTGCTTTAATATGTTATTGATTTATGCTATTTTATAAATTAATGATTTTAATAATTATTACATTTAACAATTATTTATTGTTAATTTACTCATTAATAATGCTTTTTATTTTTCTTTAATTAATTGATTTTTATTTTACTACATAAATTATTATAATTAATTTAATATATTAAATCTTGATTATTAATATTTGGATTTTAATTTAAATTTAATATTAATCACTTAATTGTTTAAATGTCTCCCATATGTTTTTATTCTTAAATAAATCATTTAACACATGACTAAATGAACTTGTTCAAACACATGATTAAATTGGTTTGTTCATATTAATTATGTTTGCTAAACTCTTTGTTCTTTCTGATACAACTAAACCAAAAGCATCTAGGACCTATATTTACGGAATATTCCATTTAGTCATTTTAACAGATGTCTACTAATTGTAGACTGATAAATGATCGAGCTATTTGTCACAAAGGTTTGACGTCAGACTAGTTTTGGGTGAGTTTAGTAACTAAACTTTAGTATCAGTCGTGAAGAATTAGGGGATGACCTGTATTTGGATTGTAATACGGTATACGAGAATTGCAATTTAATAGTAGCCTTTCCATTAATTGACATGAATATAAAAATTAATCATTTCTATACAATTACCGATAATGTGTGAATCATTGCATTTAGATATTGATATAGATTTTTGTAAAAGGCTACTACAATAATGTAAATAATATAAAATAATGAAATTATGCAAAACAATGCCATCCCAGAATTTATTCATAACTTTAGAGATGAAGATAGGGATTCAATGGACTATGAATTAGGTGATTATATCTCAACGGGGAAAGTGAAACGAACCTGCTATAAATCTGTAAATCAAAACATATTAATGCAAACAATTTTGACTAGAATTAATGAAAGTAGTGTTTAATTAATATTTGATTATGAAATCATTTTCATCATAATAAATTTATATTAATAAAATATTTTGTTTAAAATATACAAAGTATTTTTCATTTATTTTATTTTATAAATTATTGATTTTAACAATTGTTATTTTACTTATTAATATTTGTTTTATTCATTAAGTAATTGATTTTAATTTTACTACGATACAATATTGTATAAATTATTATTATTTATTTAATATATTTAATTTCGACTAGCAGTATTTGATTGTTGATTTTAATTTAATATTAACAATTTAATTTTAAAAATATATCCCTTATATTTTTATTCTTACTAAAACATTTAACACATGATTAAATTGATTTGTTCATATTAATTATTTTTGTCTAACTCTTTGTTCTCCCAGGTACTTGTCAAATATCTAGAACCTACATTTATATCCCAGTTAAAGTCATTTAAACAGATGTCTTATTAATTTTAGATTTATAAATCATTGAGCGATCAATTTATATTTGTTTTTGGATTACTAGTCTACGTTAGATTCATAATTTGATTTAGTTTATTTACAATTTACATTTTAATTTATTCTTTTTAAGGTATTATTATTAATAGATTATTAAGTGTTAATTTATTATTATAAAATTTTGATGTAATCAATGAATATTTTATGAATATCTCATGTAGAATTTTAATTTGTACTTTTTGTAACATTAATTTTTAACTTCAATTATTTATTAAACAAACTACAATAAAGAGTACTTATTTTTACCTGTGTATATTCTGTATTTTAAACTTTAGACATTGATTAATATACTACTGTAGTAACACATGTAATAAATTACTAACATTTACGCAATTATCTTATGAATTACTGACGGCATAAATTGTATAAAAGTTTATATAAATTTTTATAATTTTTTATATTAAATCAAGACTTTGTTTGAAATACAAGTAATTTAATATTGTTTAAAATGTTCAGAATTATCACATTCTTCACGTTCATATTATTTTGCAATTCGCAATTATTGACTAATGTGGTATGTTTTAATTATGAAAATTTTTAAATATTTATCAATTTTTTAATAAATAAATATTTGTTCAGTACAACACTGTGGAAAATTCAGTGATAGGTATTTCTGATGTATCACAAGGTATGATCATATTTGGTTTAAAACAATCATTTATATTAGTTTAATAGTGCTATAATAAACTTTTTATAAATCTTATACAGCATTACTAAACAAGGTCCCTGTGGACACAACATCTGACTATTGTTTTGGCAATTATACGAATGGATTCAATGGTTATATAAATAATTTCACTGCTCTTCTGCCTATGAGTCCCAATGAAATGGACGTGAAGTTCCTGTTATTCACGTGCAATAATCGGGATAACTCACAAAACCTGACATACCTGTCCCAACCTAACGAATGGACAACTGCCGGCTTTAATGTCAGTGCTCTCACTAAATTTATAGTTCATGGTTGGCTTGAAAAGTACCCTGGTAACCCTGTGGTTGGATTTAATTGGATGGAGGTTTGTTTAATATTAAAAAAGTGTTAATACTAAAATGAATTGCTATAAAAAATGATCTAATATATTATACTTAATTAAATTTTTACTTTAATAAACTATAAAATGTTTGTTAATTATTTGTGTGCAGCAAATGAAAGACTTAATTTTGAACAACTCGTGCGCTAATGTCGTGGCAATCGATTGGTCTAAACCTGCAAAAGCTGTCGACTATTTCCAATCGGCGGCCAATACTAAAATTGTGGGACAAATGATCGGTTGTGTTATCAATAGACTGTCCGCTAATTTAGGTGTTGATCCACAAAACGTTCATCTCATTGGTCACAGTTTGGGCGCACATGTGGTGGGCTTTGCGGGCAAAAACGTAACCAACCCTAACGTAGGCCACATCACAGCTGATGACCCGGCTGGACCCGGGTTTACTGGACAGCCTCCTGAGAATAGGTTAGCTGTCGGTGACGCCAGCTTTGTTAATGTCATACATACTAATGGCATTCCACCCAATGGTATACCTGGAGTACAAGGTTTGTGTAGTAACTGTAGTTTAATCATTAATTGTTAATAAAACACTTGTTTTCAATATAATTAATTAAAATAGGTCTAGGGGATCTGGATGCTCTGGGAAACATTGATTCTTATTTTAATGGAGGTATGATTATTAATAATTGTCTTAACCATAAAAGTAATAAATAGTACTTGAAAATTATACAATATAAAAATTACACAAATATAATACCTAGGTAGTCAACAGCCAGGTTGTGGATTATTTAATGCAACACTCATTCCCTTGTTCACCACTTTGCTAACCAGTGTCTCGGGTGTCAGTACTGGTATGAATACTTTTGTTTAAGAATATTATAAAGAATTTTAAAATTAATTTTATTTAAATTTCTAAACAGATGTCCTCAGTCTGTTTCTCTGTAGTCACGTCCGATCTAATTATTATGCGATCGCCGACCAGTCCTACGCCCAGAGCACAGGCTGTCAACCCATTGCCTATAAGTGCGACTCTTATGACAACTTCATGAGCGGTCTGTGCGCTAATGGCAGTGACAGTCGTCCCATGGAATTGGATCTCAATTATTGGGACAACAAATCTAGAGCACAGGCTGTCAACCCATTGCCTATAAGTGCGACTCTTATGACAACTTCATGAGCGGTCTGTGCGCTAATGGCAGTGACAGTCGTCCCATGGAATTGGATCTCAATTATTGGGACAACAAATCCAATTGGGATACGACTGACACCAACAATAAGTATTACATCAATACTGGAAACGTGTTGGAACCTGGTTATTGTTTGTATCATTATCAAGTTGTGGTAAATATGATTGACAACAAGTATTTTTTACAAAGAAATAAAGCCATTTACTGCATAATATTAGGTGAATACAGGAGCTAATTCATGCTCGGGTCAGTTTGATATAAAACTGTCAAATGGAAATGACTTCAAGGTAACTTTAAGTACTGGCAACCAAATTGCTACCAATGGTGGTCAGGGATACACCACTCTCTATACAACTCCACAACAACTACCACTCAATACGACGGCTACTATTAACCCACAATTGGGCACTAATTGTAATATAAATGAAATTGACTTCAATTTCATGAGCAATCGCGACCCAAGGTTTGGATTTATATATATTTAAAGTATTATATGAATGAATTCAATTAATTTTTATTTTCAATAGTATTCGCAAAAGTTTAACGTTGAACTTGAAATCAACAAATGGCACGAATTTTAGTTAAAACAATATTCAATTGTTTGTAAGACTGACAAAATTAGAAATTCACATACAGTACTGTACATGTATATGCAAAATTATGTTAATAAAATTTTAAATTTATTATCAACAAAATTTTGAATTATTCTTAATCATATTGAAACAAAGTGTAGTGGACTAATGTTTGCCACTATATACGGTAATAATTTTAATACTGAAAATCAGTTAAATTGCAAATAATTAAATAAACAAAAGTTTATATACAGTAATAATCAACTGAAATAAGACTAATAAGTGGCTAAATAGAGCTGAGATCTCCTAACGGCTGCCATTGATTTTGCGTTCATTTGTTTCAAGAATTTTTTGCTGTTTTCTTCACTAATCTCTCTGAATATGATGTCTTTGTTGACCACTTTTGAGCGATGATTAAACACATCGATGAAGTCATGCCACTCGTAGTCATTCTCCAATTCAAACGCAATATACCTCTCAATGATATCTTAGGGAAATATATGGCAAATATAAAACAAATAACAACTTTTAAGTTTGCAATTGATTTGAATACCATCTGAATTGACATTAAACTTGAATCCATTAACCGCTGATTTGAACCCCAATTGCATAGAGACCTGTATTTTCTTATTAGACTCTTCTGTCACTTCCATTAATACCAACGGAAGGCATGCCATCCGACAGTACATCACACGTTGGATATCACCGAATGGAACCGTTATATGATATTTGAAATTAATGTCTGAGAGATTGGGTTTAATTGCAATCAATTTGATGGACTGTGTGCTCAAATTAAAGCACCGGCAGTCTGTTAAATAGGTGCCGAAGAGCATGTATTTAGTGGACATCTGGACCGTCACTGAACTGTTGAGCACATGATTGGCCACCAAATCGAGAATCCCCTGCAGTTTGTGTCCATCCGTGCGATTCTGCTCTTCATTCGTGTCATTCATCTCTTTATTCAATTCAATCATATTCTCGAGGAATTCGTTCAAAGGAATCGTCGAATCGGTAGTCAATTGGCCGTCAATACAGTCATCACATGTGGACAACAAATGAGTGGCATTTCCGGTACAATACGTGCACTTCAAGTGATTTGTTGAGTATCTGTCTTCGTTTGGACCCATGTTTTACTCAATTATTTTATTAATTGTTAGCATTAATCATAAATAATATGAATTCTGTTGTGGCATTCATTCACATTATTAGACAAATTAACATAAACTGTAAGGTAGTATTAAAAATACTAGTTATTCACCATATTTTCTAGAAATTGTATGATTTAAAGTCTCAATTTGAAATATCAATACATTTATAGTGAACACCTCATTGTATAAGTAATATAATACTTCAATTTGAATGCATACCAAATATATTTTCTAGAAAACTCATACTAATTATGTTCATATGAGTTCAAATACATCAATAATTTTAAATTGACTTATAAATTAGCCTTTAATGAAATGAATTTTTATTTTAATATTATACAGAAAAATGCAAAATAATTTGTATTGTATTATAAGGAAATATTTATTATTATAAAGTGTATTATGTTTAGTGTTTAGTTCGTACAACAGCCACAATAACCGCCAACAATACAGCACTGGGGGTACCCATCATCGCAACAGTAGATCATAGCACAGGGACTGTCGCACACCCAACAGTTATTGGCTGAGTTCAGGGCAAAAGCCGATGAATTCTTTCCTAAGTTTAAATGAATTATAAATAAAACATATTTTACTTATAGTTAGCTATAAGACATACCCTGTTTAAAGTCCTCAGCAAACGTTCCTTTAAATTCTTGACTGACTCGGGGTATAGTCTTCGCATATTTCTGGTTTACATTCTTGAAGTCACCTAATATTTACATAAATCAAAATAATTAGAATTTTTTAACATTATTTAACTATAATTAATACAAACCAATGGTGAAGACAACGAAAAGTACAGTCAATACAGCAATCATTGAACGCATGTTTGAATTGAATTGAAGTTACTTGTAACTTGTTAACTTGCAAAATTATTAAAGTTGCTTATGTTTTTGTTTGTTATATTTTGTATGTTTTGCCTGGCTTATATACTTATAATTTTATTGTTATTTATGACCACAATTTGTTTATTACAATGTTATCAGAAGTTTATAATTTCCTTTTTTTCTAGAAATTGTAATTTATTAACGTATTTAAAATTACAAAAAAATAATAGCAATTCTCTTATCAGTTAATAAGAAAAATATGAATTGTCTGCTCACTTATGTAACTCTTATCAGTTTAGATAACTCTACAGGTATTCAAACCATATTATAATCGTGTTACTATTGCT